CCTATCTCTCATTAAACATTCACTCAACCCTGTCTGTTTCAATGGTGCCCCTGTCTGTTTCAATGGTGCCGAAGTGAAGGTGGTCAAGAGCTTCAAGTTCCTCGGAGTAAATATCACCAACAGTCTATCCTGGTCCATCCACATCGATGCTGCAGTCAAAAAAGCACACCAACACCTCTACTCCTTCAGAAGGCTAAGGAAATTCAGCATGTCCACAATGAATCTTACCAATTTTTTACAGATGCACCACAGAAAGCATCCTACCCGATGCATCACAGCTTCGCACGGCAACTGCTCTGCCCAACAGCACAAGAAATTACAGAGAGTTGTGTGCGCAGCCCAGTCCATCATGGAAACCAGCCTTCCTTCCGTTGACTCTGTCTACACTTCCTGCTGCCTCGGGAAAGCAGCCAACATAATCAAGGACCCCTCTCACTCCTGGTATAATCTTCCCTACCCTTTTCCATCAGGCAGAAGATACAAAAGTTTCAAAACATGTACGAACAGATTTAGGAAGTAATTCTTTCCTGCTGTTATCAGACTTTTGTACCTTTCATATATTGGAGTTGATCTTTCTCTGCACCTTCTGTAACTGTAATGCTATATTCTGCATTCTGCTCTATTACCCTGATGTACTTACGTAATGTACGATTTGTCTGGTTAATATGCAAATCAATCCTTTTCACTGTATCTCAGTACATGTGACAATACTAAATTAAATCAAATCGCTCTTTCCATGGTTAACACATTGTGTCGGCAGTGTGGTTCACACATAAGATGCACTGCAGCAACTCAAAGACTCCTTCGATAGCACCTTCCAAACCTTTGAATTCTGGCACTGAGGACAAGGACAGCAGATGCTGGGGAACTCCACCATCTATAAGCTTACATTTGAGCTCACACCATTCTAATTTATTATTATCACCATTATTTCACTATCATTTGGTCAAAATCCTGAAACTTCCTAACCATGCAGTAGGTGTACCTACAATGGATGGACTGCATTGGTTCAAGATGTAATCCATCACCAAGTTTACAAAGACAATTTGGCACACGCCATAAATGCTGTCCTTACCAGCAAATACTCACATCGCATGACAAATTGCAAATAAATCAATCACCTCACATAAATGTTTATTAAATTGATGTGGAACAAATGAGTTAATCAAATTGATCATTCTCAGTTACCATAATTGGCAATACAAATGGTGCAAGCACAGGCCATCAGTTCTGTTTTATTTAAATTTTCCAACCACATATCTCCGTGCAGATGATGAAAAATGAGCTCACTCACCTCCCTTATTTCATCTTCTGAAAGTGTACAATGGCTTATAAATATCTCAAGATAAAAAGACTCTTTTTCACATGGAAGATGGTGCATGTATGGAATGAGCCGCCAGACAAGGTGGTGGGGGCTGGTACAATTACAGCATTTAAAAGGCATCTGGATGGGTATATGAATAGGAAGGGTTTAGAGGGACACGAGCCAAATGCTGGCAAATGGGACTAGATTAATTTAGGATATCGGGTCAGCATGGACGAGTTAGACTGAAGGGTCTGTTTCAGTGCTGTACATCTCTATGACTCAATGACTATAAACTGCCTCGTCTTTATACACAGGACAAAAAACTGTATAAGTTGTTTACTAAAAGTAAGGGATCTTAGATTATGTTACCAGAGACATGGAATTTAGGCAAACAGATAATTTTATACTGATATAAATGATTTGTGTGGACACAGAGGGCATAATTTTATAGTGCTCACTCACTTAGAACCTATATACGTGTTCACAATTTCCTTGCCTTGGCGTTGCTTTGCTGTGTCAAATAGCACAATCACACAATGAGGCAGCTTGCCTTGCAGTCTTAATGAAAGAGTTCATATGTTTTGCTGTATGACAGTGTGCTACATCAATCTTACACCCACAGAATATACCAGCAGAGTATTCAGCCAACACTAGATCAAACCATCTCTGATTCTACTAAACTCCAATGCATTAAGGCCCAGCCTACTCAACGTTTTCTCATAAGATGACCATTTCATTCCAAGGAATAAGCATAATGAGCCTTCTCTGAACTGTTTTCAACGCAGCATCTCTCCTAAGGTCAGGAGACCAAAACTGTCCAACATTTTGTGATTCATGTACAAAGACAAATGGATCTCTCCACACTCTCTACATTCAAATTATATTTTGCTTTTCTAATCTTTTATTCTTCCTGCCAATTTCACATTTTTCCCACATTATCCTCCATTTGCCTTTTCTTTTCCCATTCACTTAATATATCAATTTCCCATTACAGACTCTTTGAATTCTTGTTCCGACTTGTTTTCCAACTAATTTTGTTTCATCAGCAACTATGGCTATGAGACAGTCTGTCCTCTAATCCAGACCATTAATATAGATCATGAATAGTTGAGGCCCCAAGCACTCCACTAGTTATAGTTTGTCAACCTGAAAAAGGCTAGGTTTCCCTGAAACTCTGTTTCTTGTTATTTAGCCCTTGGCCTATCCTTGGTAATTTATTAACCCCTGCACCATGATTTCTTATTATGTGCAGTGATTTGGTTGCAATATTTTTTGGGTAATGTGCTTTGGTAATGAATAGCTGAAGATATGTGGAAGTTGGAAGGAGTGGCAGTGAGTTTGGCAGCATTGGTAAGTGCATGTGAATGAGGCTGAATGGTAGACAGGTAAGTCGATTGTTAATGTGCATCAGGACAGTGGTGCATTAATACCCTGAAAGGTCAGTGGTACAACAGATGGAGACTGGAATTTGAAGATACATTCTTTCACCTCAACAACTTGTCTGAGGTCATTGAACTCTCTGTTGCAGCAGCCCTGTCCTCAGGGTCAGCTGTCAGGAATGGATCTCTCTGGCTATTTTTCATCATTATCTCTGGGCTCATTATGTAAACGTGACTAATCTGCTTCTCTCCACCTCCTGCATAAGGACTCTAGCACTGCACCAGAGAACCTGGGAACCCTCCCTCTGATGTGACATTCCACTTACAGTCCCCTTCTTTCCCTCAAAGTGTTTCTGAGATTGTTCCAACCAATGTTGAAAGCCATTGTAAAAGACAGGAAATACTCAGGTCAGGCAAAATCTACAGAAACAAGGTTAACACTTCAGGTTGAAATGAGCTTGTTTCAAAACAGATGAAAACCATTCTAATGAAAGATGATTTTATCCCTTGAGAGAAACTCTCTTTGTGGATGCTGCCTGACCTGCTGAGTATTTCCCGGAAGGAAAAGTACAAAAAAATTAATACTGGCATTTTATTGCTCCTTTTTTGAGGTATACAAGACCAGCGAGACCTGTATGTCTCATTTCTGAGTGGAAATATTATTTTCCCTCCATTCCTTTCTCCTTTTCAGATGTCCACAAAATTTTATTTTATCCTTTATGAAAGGGATAGGCTGCCCTCCATGAAGTTCAGGCTAGTTCTAAATCATGGCAGTCACACACACTCCAGAACCCCCATCTGAGCATGCAGGCAGTGAACTCAGCTGTAATCACCCAAGTAAGCAGGGCATCAGAAAGTTTGCACCTATTACAAATAAGCATGTTCGTAAATAAGTCTAATCCATATTTTGACCCTTAATTTTGGTCAATGTAATTCTTAAAGCAGCTTTTTATACAGCTGTGTTTTAGAAGGAATTAATGGAGTGGTCATTCGTTGTTTTCATGTTTATTTTCATATACCTATTACTCATTGGGAATTTTGATCTCGTTCTTTACTCCTGTTTATTAATTAAATAATCACCAGCATGTGGAATGTTCACAAAGGTGAACGTCTGTGCAATGATATCATATATACATAGTTTGCACAGCTGTTTTGAATTACTAGCACTCAGCGCACTGGCTGCAAAGTCTGGTTATTGTCTCATCTACAAATTGGAGACAAGCTCAGAGAAACCTTAAATTGACAACAACTGCAGCACAGCAATCGGGATTGAATGCCACAGACTGTCAATAAATGTAGGTATGAAGCAGTAAGTATCAGTTAATGTCAGTGCCGTTGTATCCAGAGGACATATACCTTCTGCTCCAGGGCATCCAACTTTGTAACCTCAAACTAAGCACTTCCACTGGCAACTTAATAACTTCTCATCTCCTCTGACTAGAAATTTGCCTCTTGGAGGTGGTGGAAAATGGCTGTTTGTGATTCAGGTATCTACTATGTCATAGACAGATAGATGCCAGATAGAATTCAGAGAAGGCCAAAACAATGGATTTTTTAAAAAGATATTTAAAATCTTGCCCTGTTATTATTTGCATTGGACAAGTAGTCTATAAATTTTACATCCTTCTCTCTATCCCTCATTAAACCTGAATACTGAGAACACATTGGCATTTCTAGCACTCAGCAGTGCTATGTCCAAAACAGCAGCAAATTATTTGTATAAGGTAGTCCTATCATTGGTGTTTCTTTTTAATATACCCACATAAAGGTAAACGGAGCATATTATTAGCACCAAAAGATCCAGGCAGTAATAAGGACTGCAGGGTACATGTGGAAGAGCTCTCCATCCAATGTTACATCCTGCCAAATCAAGTCACGCTGGGGTGCCAGGAGAAAATACAAGCTAAACTTGCCCATGCAGTGGCTTATGTCAAAGTCTCAGAAGGAAATACGAATTGTTAGAAACAAGAGTTCTCGAGGGGCTGTGGAATTTAATATGGATCTCCCTTTAATGCTATCAAAATTTATTCTGCACTGGATACTTTAAATATGAAATATTTAAACTCAACTTTATAAAGCGTAATGTTTTCTATTAAGGAAGTCAAACACAAGTGTTGCATGAACTGCAAATCAGTCATGCCCCCTTCTTGTCCTAATCCTCCATCAACATTATTGGAAACTGAAATTCTGAGCCTTACAAGTTTGGGAATTTGTTGTATTACAAATAATACCTAGGATTTCAGCATTTATAGGCTCCTGTGAATAGGTCTAGCAATATCATTGGGTGGTCTGTATTGAAATGAAAATGCCTGTACCTTTAGTGTTGATTTCTTTTGAGCTTTGTTTAAGAACCACTTCTCCGTCATCAAATCCATCTGTGAACAATATCAGCACCTGTATAAGGATTGTAATTAAGGACACAGTTATTTTTGTGAATTGATATTTTAAGTAACCAGACTGTGAAAGAAACAGAGGAAAAGTAAGTATCGATCTCCATGACCTGTAATAGTATTAAATTAACTGTAAATGCATACATAGAATGTGCAACTCTGAACAATTCACTCTGGCCAACTAGGCTGTGCTGGTTTTTATTCTCCACACAAGCTTTCTCCAATATGATCTACTCTTACATTTCAGCCTTTCAGGCTACTTTCATATTCTTCTATTTTAGTGTACGTGCCTGGATTTCTTTTGAAAGAATTGAAGCTGTTTGCCTCAATCACATTCTGATTTCCACATTCTGATCACTCTCTGGTAGTGGTACTTCTCCTGACTGGATCTACTAGTAATTATCCTGTAATTATATTCACCAGTTTTGGATTCTCCCTCATGTGAAAACATTATCTCAACATTTACCCTGTCCAACCCATTTATAACTTTAAAGATTTCCATGAGGCAAACTTTGCATCTTCTCTTTTCTAAAGAAAATGCCCCAAATTATACAATATAATCTCTCAGTTCTGTTCTGAATCCTGTAATTTTATTTTGTGCTGTATCTACTGTTTCTATATCCTTTTTATAGGAATGAACTAAAACTGTACACGTGCTTGGTCTATGCCCTGACTTGGAAACATTAATTTTGAATGCTATATTCATAGATTTAAATAATTTGCAACAAGGTATGTAAACTGATGGTGCAAGCGGAAGTAAAATGGTATGATTTAATTGCCATTAAGGAGATGTGGCTGCATGGTGACCAAGACTGGGAACTGAACGTTAAAGAATATTTGACATTTAGGAGGAGCAGAGAAAAATGAAAGGGAAGTAGATAGTGCTAATAATAAGGGATCGGATATGTGCATTAGAAACTGATCAGAAGAACAGAATGGAGAAACTATTTGGTTGGAGCTCAGAAACAGCGAGGAGCAGCATATACTGGTGTAAGTTGCTTGTCGGCCTCCAAACAGTTGTGCTAACATAGGACATGGATTGAGTCAGGAAATCAGAGTTAAAACTGTGACTCTACAATCATTGTTGCTATTATTTTCCTCTCATTCTCTCTTTACATTATTTCCAATTCCCCAAAATGCACTGCAAAACACTCAAGTGCTGCAATATTCATCAACACATCACTTGATTAATGATGCGCATTAAAAAGGGAGACGCATTGAGAATGAATGCAAGAAAGACCATGATGGGGTAGTTTGAGACGTTACCCCACAAGCAATTCACTTGGAATTTTCAGCCAAATAGTCAGGATTCATAAGATATCTTTGACATATGGTTTATAGCTTGGACATCTTATCTGGAGAGAATTTAGATGTAACAAGCTTCAATCCATTGACGTTAAATGTGACTCTTCACTTATTTAGAACCCACAACTTTTCCTGGAGGCATTAATATATAACAGTGAATAGCAACATTAAGCTGAAGATTTTTAGGATAACTAAAGTTTACTACCACCCAGGTGAGATTAGTTTAAGTCAAGAGACATTGAACTTTTGTCCAAAGGGCCCACTTGTGGCCCAGTAGTAGTGTCCCTACCCCTGGACCAGTAGGTTTGGGTTCAAGTCCCACTTGTTCCAGAGGTGTGTAATAACATCTTCATCAGAGTCATTTGGACTCAAAACGTTAGCTTGCTTTCTCTCCATGGATGCTGCCTGACCTGCTTGAACCTTTGTCCATTGTTCTGTAGGTCAGAGAAGTAGACAATCCAACTGAAAACTGAATCCATCATCAAAATCTATTTGAATGTAGCATGATTGTGACATCATGAACAAAATCACCTGGTCGCAGGCAATTAATGCAAAATCCAAACTATTACAGTGCATTCAAACAGCCAAATGTGGCTCTTCCATGTCTTTTAAAGCCAAGTATTATTCTCAACAAACTTAAGTCGGAAAGGTTTGAAAGTGTTGCACATGTAGTTTTCTACACCTTAGGACAGGTATGCTCACCTTTGTTGTTGAAGTTGATGCATTGAATGCATCAATAAATGATTTTATACTTCCTGCATTCAGATCAATGTCGTCATCTGTTTGAGTTTGGAGCAGCTTATCTAAAACGTCTGGGTCATAAACTTTAAAACCAGCTTCAAAGACAGATTTGCCAGTGTTGCTTATCACGTGATAGCTCATTTTGATGTTTAGCTTGGAAGCAGATGCACAGCTGATCGATTGTATGGATGCAATTTCCTGTAATATTGGACCAAGCTTTGACTTTAGCTTTTGTTGGCTATCAAATATGTTCTTTGAACCAGTCCTTCTTGAGAAATCAAATCCCACAACAATGTCTATCGAACACGCTGGATCGTCTGTAATGTGAACAATCCAAAGTCAATGCTTTTCACACATTTCATACAGTACATGTCGAAGTAAATAACTGTCCTTCCAATTTTTTGTTTGTTTTGCAAAGGTGAAGACAGAAATAAGAAAATCAGAAATGAGGGGAGTGGTTTCAACTGGACGAGAGAGTTGTAACTAATTTGGCAGATGGATGGGAACACCATTAGAAAAGGGAAACAAGATGTAAGAAGGATTTGCAAAGACAGCCAGCAATAGAGCAAGCGATAATAAAGCGTTATATGGGATCAAGCCAAGTGGAATGCAGTAACATTTAATACAGGTTCAAAGTGAATTATTTTAAGGGTACAAAATCTGGTAAATAAGGTTGGCAAGCTGCAAAACAAATATGCCCATGGCATCATGATGTGATGGTGGTGACAGACAGACGGCTTAAAAAAGGAAGCACTAGGAACTAAATGCTCTTGGACATAAGGGGGCCAGATTTTTATTTTAGATTGAGACAATACTCTGGAAATTTTCTGGGTCCCGACTACACGTTGCATGAACCTGATATCCTCATGACCCTCTTTCAAGCCACCAGGCCAATTAATGGGCAGTAGCAAGCTTAACATCCACCTTAAAATGGCAGGCAGGCTCCTGAGGCCAATGACAATCCTCCAGCAGTGATCAGTTAAAGCTCACCAACCGAGGTTGGCACTCCAAATGCTGATGAAGGGAGAGGGAAGTGTCTCAATACAGAGGGGGAGGGGCACCCTCTGAGGATGAACCTAATATTTCTTTCAAAAAAAAGGACCATCGTGACCTAGCCAGAATCATGGAGGAAAAACCCTGCACATAACAGTCAGAGGTCACAGTTATGGCTTGATAGCCACTGGCATTGAAGAATGAACATCGTTCACAAGACTAAGCACACCCTCTGCCTCCCACTGCTGTGAATCATAAAATCAGTGCTGAAATAGGCCATTCGGCCGACCAAGTCTGCACCAACCCTCTGAGGAATGTTCCATCCAGACCTAGATCCTCCAGCATATCCCTGTAACCCCGTACTTTCCATGGCTAACCACCTCATCTACACATTCCTGGACACCAAGGGTCAATTTAGCATGGCCAATCCACCTAACCCACACATCTTTGGATTGTGGGAAGAAACCAGAGCACCCGGAGGAAACCCACACAGACACGGGGAGAACGTGCAAATTCCACACAGAGAGTCACCCGAGGCTGGAACAAAACCTGGGTCCCCGGCGCTATGAGACAGCAGTGCTAACCACTGCGCCATTGTGCCGCCCCTGTTGCTGTGTGCAAGCAAGCATGCTTACAAGTGAAGCTGTTTCGTTACACTGGTCAAGTCTTGCCTACTGAGTTTTTCCTACCTGCTGACTCCCATTAGCATGGTATAGTCTCCTCTCTTTGTCTCAACTGGCCTCCTCTGCTTACAGATGGGACGCCATTCCAAACCTGAAAAAGCCATTTTAAAGATGGGGTGCAGATTTATGGCACTGAACCTGCACGATGGCTAGCTGTGTGAAACCTTGGACTTAATCCTCTGCCTCTGATCCCGACCCTAAAGAGTTTTAAATTTCAGCCCAAGGCGTTCCAGTATGATAGGAGAAAAAAAAGGGGATGGGCCTAGCTAAATTGTTCTTGTAGGGAACTGACAGAATCAACAAACTAAAAGGTCTCTTTCTCTGCCTTGTGATTTTAATTGGTGCTTTCTGACAAACTGTGTACTCACTAATATAAAGACAAGTTAATAGATCAATTTTCATGAAGCTTTACCCTTTTCCTCAATTTCCATTTGAAATCATTGATTAAGAAGGGCTAAGTGTATGTTGTGGGGCCCATGTTTGTTATTCTCCATGACTTCTTGGTAATATGCAATGAAACACAGCGATCAAAAGATAAAAAGGTATCAAAGTGAATGAATTATCATACAGTAGTACAGTAAAGGGAGTCAGGAATATGATATCAGTAAAGACCTGATCTTGAACACAAACAGAAAGGGTTAGAGAAACTCAGCAAGTCTGGCAGCATCTGTAGTGAGAGAAACAGTCAACATTTTGCATCCAGTGATCCTTATCCAGAACTCTAGGGTGGCAGAGCAGTTCAGTGGTTAGCACTGCTGCCTCACAGCACCAGGTACCTAGATTTGATTCTAGCCTCACCTGACCGTCTGTGTGGAGTTTGTACATTCTCCCCATGTCTGTGTGGGTTTCCACCCACAGTCCAAAGATGTGAAGTTTAGGTGGATTGGCCACGTTAAATTGCCCACAGCTTCCAAGGACGTGTGGGCTCAGTGGGTTAGCCATGGGGAAATGCAGGGATATGGTGGGTCTGGGTGGAATGCTCTTCGGAGTGTCAGTGTGGACTCGATGGGCCAAATGGCCAGTTTCCCTACTGTAGGGATTCTATAAAGGTTTTAATGATGATGAAGTGTCACTAGACTCAAAATTTTAACTCTGCTTCTCTCTGTATAGATGCTGCCAGACCTGCTGAGTTTCTCCAGCACTTCTATTTATGTTGAAGATTTCCAGCATCCGCAGTGTATTGGCTTTTATTAAGACCTGATCTTGCATTGTTACAACTGTATATTTGTGTGTAATGTGACACTGGTTCAAGCAAGTGAAAATTGAACACCTTGCTGATGGCAACTTGATTTTGGAATGTAAAGTTGGAGTTCATAAGAGTAATAACAGAAACAGAAATACTTAAGAAGAGTTGGTCATTTCAAAATAAATTAATTGAAAATAAACAGGAGACTGTAAGATGGATAGAAAGCAACGTGGACGGGGACAGTCCAGTCCTTGGTAAAAAGTAATAAAAAAAAGGTTACAGTATTCATGTTACACGGCTAATGATGTGCATACAAAAATCTAGAAACGGGGTTGAGGCCAGAGATAAAGAACCTACAGAGTAGTCAGTGGGGGCCAGGAAGTAGAAAGTTGCTAAATTCTCCACACCTGGAGTAGCCAGGAGCAATCTGATGTTGGATCAACATCTTGTTCATCCCAGATGAACAGAACATGAATCTAGAGCTAAAGAAGGGAATATCTAAGTGACAGTGTGCAAAGTAATTGGGCAGTGTAAAAGTTTGAGGTGCTCTGATCACCCCATGTGTTGTGATGGGATGAGAGCTCAGCAGGTGGCAGTATTAGTTAACCCAATGGAGACAGAAAGATTTTAAGTATGATGGCATTCCTCAAGTCTAAAAGTTGATAAGGGGATAATGCAAGAGAGAGCTTGGCACTGCTTCCCTCCATGCCCGCTTAAACTTCACCATCTATATGAGCGAACCCACATGGTTCAGGTGGGGAATTGGGACATTCAGGATAAGCAGAGAACTTCTGATTTGGGTCCTCGGGTACTTGTCACTCCCACAGCAACTTACCCAATCTCCTTGTAATGAGGAGAGCAGGGGTAGGAAGATACAGCATGATCCCAAATCCTCCACTCCCTGTGGAGGCGATGGAGGCAACACTGCCTTTTGTGGCTCCATGGGCAAGGAAGGGATTCAGGTATGGGACATGATGCAAAGATCAAAGACTGCACAAATGGACATGTTCTTAACATCAACCAGAGGTCAATCCTAGGCCATATAAAGGAGTTCCATTAGAAATCTAGGGCTGTACACCTGGGCGGTAACAAATGCGTTTTGAAAAAGAAAATTAGTTAAAAGCTGAAAATGAAGGTTACAATTGCTGTGAGAAAGAAAAGCATTACACTTTTCCAACATATTTTATTCTTATTTGACATATATAACCTGCACTTAAACAGTTCTTTTAACATAAGTGTGTTCCAAGAAGCATTAAAAAATAAAGTTAGACAATGAGCTATATAAGGATATATTAGGTCAGATGGCCAAATCATTTCTAAAAGAAAGAAGATGGATTTTGCCAAAAATGAATGTCTTAAAGGAGGGGCGTCCTCAAAGAGGCTCTGAACTCATGGAGAAACTGACCCAACTCCACAAATTGTTGTGGATGGGAGAAATATTGATAGAAGATACCCATTGGGAATCTAAAGTACACTCTATATAATAATGATACTCACTTCCTCCTCAGAAATTGATCTGAGATTTTGTCAGTGGCTCCACAAGAGTTTTTGTCTGATAATGTTGACCATAGTAATAGTGATTTCATATTCTGCATGCAAAAACACTGTTCATGTCTTCGTTCAGTGGTTAACTGAAACTGCACCTACAGGTACAGAGGTTGGACAATTTTGTGTACATTATGAATACTTTTATAGTCATTTCAGTGTTACCAATAGCCAGCTCCAGGCTTTTTTCTTTTATTCACTTGTGGTACATGAGCATTGGTGGCTGGATCAGCCATTATAGGCCATCCCTAGTTACCATTGGGAAGGTGCCGGTAAGCTGGCTTCTTGAACCCCAGCAGTCCATGTGCTGCGGGTAGACCCACAATGCCATTAGGGAGGGAATTCCAGAATTTTGACCCAGTGACAGTGAAGGAACGGCAGTTGTTTTTCCAAATCAGGATGGTGAGTGGCTTGAAGGGGAACTTGCAGGTGGTGGTGTTTCCATATGTCTGCTTCAATTATCTTACTAGATTGGGTAGCTGTGGGTTTCAAAAGCTGCTATCTAAAGTTCTTTGGCGAATTTCTGCAGTGCATCTTGTAGATTGTACACACTGCTGCTAGTGAATGCTAGTGTTAGAGTAACTGAATGTTTGTGGATATGGTGCCAATCAAGGAGGCTGCTTTGACCTGGAGGGTGTCACTCTCTCGAGTTTTGTTTGAGCTGTGCCCAACCAGGGCAAGTGGGGAACATTTCATCATATGTATGCCTGAAAAATAGACATTATTGCTGTAATCAATTCCTATTAATTATGGTGTGTGGCAATTAGCAATGTTTTTGGCATAAAGTTACGGCAGATGTAGGGGATATAAAATGATATCCTGAGATTGTCCTGAGTCTGCCACAACCCTAGCCTAACTGTGATGCTATTTGCAAGAAAGAGGTGCTGAAATTGAGTACAGAGTTTTAAAGGCTTCAGAGTTTGAATCAAGTGGTTGTTGTAGACATTAACAGTTACACTTGCACGAATGTTAATCGGATTAGATATATCAGCTGGTGGTAGTCATTTGAATGGATTCCATTGCCGTTCTGATGATGAAAAGGATACAGCCACTCTGTATGCTGGTGCTGCTTTACTTAAATGCATTGGGAATTTTGAATTATTACAAACAGCTTGTTCAAAAACTAAAAATACATGAAAGCAAATTTTTGTTGAAAGGATTAAAATGTTGAAAGTAATGTTATCCCGATAACTCCTGACAATGAAGGCACAGGGAAGAAGCAGGGTTTGTGGATGACAGTAAATGTAATGAAGTACTTCAGTATCTCAAGTTACATAGCTTAGTGGACAAAGCATTGATTTTGTCAACCAAGGGTTACATTTCAATTCCCACCTGGCATTATCGCAGATGGGTGGTAACCACTGTGCACATGATGAGCCAAAGGGTCTCTTCAGTGTTGTAAAAGTATCTATGAGAATCTACTAGCCTGTGGGATCAGCACCCAATGTGTTAAGGTACCTTCTGCTGAGCTTATGATCATGAGGTATCAACCGATTTCAGGCCCAGCACCACCACAGACAAACAGGATTATCAAATGTGTAAGGGTCTGTCAAACATGTGATCATATGTGTTTATAGGGGATGAGACTGAGTTTGAAAGGACAACGTAACCATGACATCTTGAATTTTGGAAGACATTAAGAAGACTCAGTGAATTTGCCGTGTCCATGTTTAGTAATACTGCAGTTATACAGCAGTATCTTAGCTTTACTATGATTTATTGGTGATATGCATGGAAGATAATGATCAAAGGTAAAAACAGTATATGTGTCGATGTATGAGTACCACGCTTGAAGGGAATCATGAATAGTGTCTCAATAACAACCTGGTTGTGCGTTATTACAACTGTGTGGATATTTTTAATCAACTCGCTCAGCCATATTACCATACATGTCTGAGGCAGGTGGGACTTTGAATTCAGACCTTCTGACCCAGAAGAAGGGACACTACCACTGAGACACAAGAACTCTTGCTACAAGAGTATATATGTGTGCAAACAACCATTTAAGGTATCAAGATAAATGTAAATGAGAAAGCAATCCAATAGTGGTGATATGCCTCTTTAAACTGTAGAAATTCATGTGTTGAAGGCCCACCCACATCCCTTTTAAGTAGACTAGTTCCGGGATTTTGAGCCAGTGGTGTTATAGTCATGGGAATATATTTAAGTCAGGATGTCGTGTGATGTTTGGAAAGGAACTTAGAAGTGATGGTGTTATCATGTTTTTGCTGCTTTCTTTCTTCCATGTGGTTGAATGTGCAGGTTAGGGAGGTCTTGTTCAAAAAATCCTTGGTGAGATTTTGAAGTGGAATTTGTAGATGGTACCCATTAGTGTCATTGTGTGCTTGTTGTAGCCAGGCTTAACGTTTAAGGAAGTAGATGGTGTGACAATCAAGATTTGGCTTGGATGGCAATCAGCATCTTGAATGTTGTTAGAACTGTTTATCAAGGGAAGAATATTCCATCAGACTCCTGTCTGTGCTTTGATGGTGGGAAGACTTGCTACAGACAAACCCGTCTCTGACCTCTTGTAACCACAGTATTTCTGTCACTCAATATTGAGAGTGGACCATTCAATAATGTTAATGCAACTGAGTGTCAAAGGTAGTGATTAGATTTAATTTAGTCAAGACTATGATTGCCTAGCATGTGTGTGATTCCAGCAGGGATTCAAGAAAGTGGCTCACCACTCCCGACTCATGGGCAGTCAGAGAAGGTCAATAAATGCCAGCCTTGCTAATGAAGCACACATCTGAATAAGGAATAATGGAAGTTATTTGTCACTTACCAGCCCACACCTGAATGTGTCTTATGTCTTGCTGCAGCCAGATACAGACTGCTTCATGATCTGAATAATTTGCGACTGAAACTGAACACTGTAGGTTTAAACTAACATCCCAACCTTGACTTAATGTCATTCAAAGGCAGGAGAGGTCAGTACTTCTTTGATTCTGAAGGGAAATACAGCTGTTTCTCTGCCTTCACCTATTGAAAACACTTGCATCTTCTGACAGGACAGCAATCTAAAGCATGAAATCCTGACTTCGTTTCCCCTGCCTCAACCACTGATGCTAATGTTAATTGTGTTAACTTTATCAATACCACAATGAGGCCACTTGCCCCAACATACAATCAGGGATGACACTGGACTTTTAGCCTGAATTACAAAGAACTGCATTATGCAATGCAGGTTTGAACTGAGCCTTTGGAAACATATGCTATTATTCTAATGCATTGAACTGGTTTCAAATCTTGTAAAAATGCTATTTAAGATACAGATCTTGTTCTGGCTTCCTGATCTTTGAAAGTTCTGTCCAAGATTGGAAATAAAGCTACATTCTGGATTAAATTATAAGGGCATCATGATAACAATTGACAGAATGGAATGAGTTATTGAAGTGTACTGGATCTTGGTGTAACATTCCACACTTTTGGGGCAGAGCATGGAGTAGTGCTATTGTCAGGCTAACGTTCTAGGGATGTGGGCTCAGATTTGAAAATGAAAGGTTGTGAAATGTAAACTTAAGGGCTGTTGTGGTGCAGTGCTAGTATCCCCACCTCTGAGCCAGGAGGCCTGTGTTCAAGTGCCAGAGGTGTACTCCGAGAGGATCCAAGGTTATATCATCAAGCTGCTATTTCCCAATTTCAGTAACATCACAATGTTTTACATGAGAACCATATGGGGGCTGAGCAGTTGATGTGGGCCACTGACACTATTGGTAGAGGTTGCAGATCAATTGTGGATGGTGAGATGAGCAGGGAAACCAAGTTTGGGAAAGGAAGAAACATATGTTGCTTCACTGTTTCCAATAGGCTTTTCCACTGATAATGGAAAATATTTAGCTTCAGCATGCTTCAAATTATATAGTCAATGCTTTTATTTGCAGCAGATAGCAGCTTAATATTGTTTTGTTCCTCTTTTATTAAGAGGTAAAGTCACCATTGTCTTAACAGACCATAAGGCTGCTCTCTCATTAGAGAAAGGTGACTGGTGGTGGTTTAACCTGAGGGTCACCATGCTTCAGGCAAGGGGACAGGTTGAGAAGGAGTGTCTTGTCATGGTAACCTCAGCTGCTGGGGGAATTGAGCTTATGCTGTTAACATTACTCAGCATTGCAAACCAGCCAACTAAGCTAAACCTACATTAGAAATTGAAAAGCAAGAATATCTAATTTTAAATTTCTGCACAGACAATTAAATAAGGAATCTCTACGCTTTCTAACTTAAAGTTACCCATCAGATTCTGCCTGTAAACTGCCCCCAAAACTGAATGCTGGCGACAGCCTGCGGGTGCAGGCAGCCCACAAACAGCTGAGAAAATAGTGTTTTTTTAAATGTGGAATACTTTTCTGGGAACTGTTCAAGGCAGAACTCTGAACACAAGTACAGATTCTGACTACTAGATTCTTCTTATTTAAGCCTTACATCCAATATCCTAAGGATTCAGAAGCTTACATACGTATTTGCTCTTGTGCACCTTATTAATAATTTTAATTTTAGCATTTTGGCTCCTGTGCACCTTAATAATAATTACTTATTCATGAATCGGACATTTAAGACTGATAGAGATAGGACTCCGGAAATGGAGTGGGAAACAGATCTAGAAGAGGCTCTCTAAGCCCCATTCCACCAAACAAAACATGGAGAAAGACAATGAAACAGTCTAAGCCAGTACAGGGTTACATTTATGATGTAGTTCAACAGTGACTGGGGAGATTGGAGTTATGGTATAGAGAGCCAAGCACAAACCTTTAAAACGCCGTATCATTGTTAGAAGTTCTCTTACCTTGTGGAGGAGGATGGGGAATACAGATACTACGAACAATTCTTCTTTTAACTTTACTTAAGTCACCAATGTCTTTAATAAACAGTTTTCTCTGTGGTGATCCAGTAATTTTCAGAAGCTCAGAGCCTTTTGCGTTTTGAATACCGAGCGCAAATATTAGAATATTCTGTTTGTGCAACTCAGCAGCTGCTGTAACTACACTGTCAACAGATGTCCCAGATGTAATCACTAAAAGGTAGAGGGGCACCTTTTCATTTCTTCGATTTCCCTCCAATTTCTGGAGGTGGGCGTTCACAAATGTCAAAGCGGCTCCAGTGGCGGTTTCCCCACCAATCTGAGTGATTTCATCAATCTTGCTTTTTAGCACGTCATGCGAATCAGACTGTGTCAAGTAGAATTCAAAACGCTGTGTTGTACCGTACTGGACCAAAGCAAACTGGAAATGATTTTCACCAACATTAAACAACTTGACAAAGTCTTTCAAGCCGCTCTTCATTGACTCAAAGTCACCGCTTGTTACTACCTCTGAGCCATCCAGAAGGAAAACAATGTCTGCTTTCTTGAGTTCACATTCTGTATAAAATAAATAGAATTAGAGAGCATTTAGAGCAAGGTCACATGATGTGTTGAAAAAAATGTACAGAAAAAATCATAGAGTGGGCAAATACAGATTAATATTTGAACCACCCATAAATTTCTACTTGGTGAAGAATACAAATATGAGCCTGTACAAGTTGGTGGAGATTCAAAGAACTTTTTTTAATTAAAGATTTCAAGGAATTGATTACAAATCCTGGAGCTAGATTTCAAAGGTTGCAGGTTTGGAACCCATTGTGAGTAGAGTCTGAATTAAGTACTCATCTACCCTGTTCAATCAGAATAAGTCTGTCTTCTGCCAAAGATTCTGTGCGGACATCCTTCCCCACTGGGTACCAGTACCTTAGGCTGAAACCAAAAAGAAAGGTTATGAAGTGAATCTCCTAAGGCATCGCACTAGTGGATGCAACAGTGGCATATACCACACAGTATCTCAGATTTACCCCATTGGCTTTTGTTTCACAGTTTTATGCTAATAGACCTCTAAGGAATTGCCTGTTTTCAACTGCAAGGCAGTGTCAAGCACCAATATAATTGGCACCTGCTTTTGCCACTGGCACCAACCAGACAGCTCCTGCCTTCTAGAGGCTCATGAGCCAATAAATAAGTGCTGTGCTAATCTCCTGCTTGATTAAGGAGTTTACAATTAAAAATAATATCCCATGAGTGCATTTGAGAAGCAGTATCAGACCCAGACTCTATGTGAGCACTAAGGGAGGTGATGGCCTAGCGGCATTATTGCTGGACTGTTAATCCAGAGACCTAGGTAATATTCTGGGAACCTAAGCTCAAATCCCACTGTGGCAGTTAGTGGAATTTGAAATTTTAAGAAAATATGGAATTATGAGTGTAATGATGACCATGAATCTGTTGTTGGTTGTCAGGAAAAACACATCTGGTTTACTAATGCTCTTTAGGGAAGGAAACTGCCATCCTTATTTGGTCTGACCTATATGTGATTCCAGACCCACAGCAGTGTAGTTGACTCTTAAGTGTCCTCTGGGCAATTAGGGGTGGGCAATAAATGCTGCCTGGCCAGCTATGCCCTCATCCCATGAATGAACTTAAGAGAGGATTATTTTGAAAATCCAATCTCTGGTTTCAGCATTAGTGCCAATAGTGTTAGTGCTCCTGTCACAACCTTGCAGAGGACTCATTAATCTTATTGGGAGTTTATTCTAGTAGAAATTAGGTCAGCTACATTCAATTTGTTTTTCCATAGTGTTTATACAAGGAGCAGATATGTTTTACTGAAATTTCGAGAAGACGTGAGAAGAATGTAAGAAGAACCTCAGAGATATCATAAGAAAGTTCTTTCTAGGATTGAAAATGGAACCAGGGCAGAACAACCTTGAAGCAATTAGTACCTTTTTCAAAAAAGCTCCAAAGACGTAAAATATGCTGAATAATAGCTAAAGATTGTCTCAGTTAAGGAGAAAAGGAGTAAACGGAAGACAAAAAGGAAATGAAGGCATTGACAATATCTTGATTTTTCACTCCCTGAGCAACATATTTACATGCCCTATATATTCAAATTGAATCATTTTTTGTACACAAGAATGTTGCCCTGTTACAATTTATAAACATACTTGCATTACCCTCCTTAATGCTGAAGTACATTAAGGCAAAAAGAGGTTTAGCTGCAAACACGTGGACTAATTTTATTTGGCAACATGCTCAATGTGATTACAGATGGTTATGGATTGAAGAAAAATGTGTGGTAACAAATGATTTAAATTTTTTTCACACAGTCATGGAACCTCAATGTCGCTGGAATGGCCTTTATTGCCTGGCCCTAGTTGCCCTTGAGACGGTAGTGGTGAACTGTCTTCTTGAACTGCTACAGTATATGTGCATCAGTTGGATGTATAATGCCATTAAAGAGGGAATTCTAGGATTAGATTAGATCATTAGATTGTCTCTTATTGGAGATGGTCATTGCATGGTATTTGTCTGGTGCAAATTTTACTTGCCACTTGTCAGCCTAAACCTGGATATTGTTTGGTTTTTGTCATATTTGAACATGGACTGCTTCATAATCTGAGCACCCACAAATGGTGCTGAACGTTGTGCAATCATTGGTAAATATCCTCATGTCTGACTTTATGGTTGGAGGGATGGTCATTAACGAAGCAGCTGCAGATGTTTGGGTCTAGGACATGAACATGAGGAACTCCTGCAGAAATGTCCTGCAGCTGAGATGACTGACCTCTAAAATCCACAACCACTTCCTTTTGTGCCAAGTATGATTCCAACCAGCAGAGAGTTTGCCCCTGATTCCCACTGACTCCAGTTTTGCTAGGGTTCACTGATACCACACTCAGTCAAATGTCGCCTTGATATCAAGGGCTGTCACTCTCACCTCACCTCTGGAATTCAGCTCTTTTGTCCATGTTTGAACCAAGGCTGTAATGAGATCAGGAGCTGAGTGGCCCTGGCGAAACCCAAACTGGGTGTTTCTGAGCAGGTTATTGCTGAGCAGGTGCTGCTTGCTAGCACTGTTAATACACCTTCCAGCACTTGACCGAGAATCGAGAGTAGACTGATCTGGCAGTAACCGGCCAATTTGGATTTGTCCTGCTTTTTGTTTACAGGACCCATCTGGACATTTTTCCACATTGTTGGCAGATGCCAGTGTTGTAGCTGAACTGGAACAGCAAGTACAGGTTCTGGAGCAGATGCCTTCAGTACTATTGTCAAAATGTTGTCAGGGCTCTTGGCCTTTGCGATATCCAGTGCCTCCAACTGTTTCTTGATATCATGTGAAGTGAATTAAGTTGGCTGAAGACTGGCATCTGTGATGCTGGGGACCTCTGGAGGAGGTGAGATGGATCATCCACTCTGCATTTCTGGCTGAAAATCATCATGAATGCCTCAGCCTTATCTTTTGCATTCCTGCTTAATTCTCCATCACAATTCATGACTGGATGTGACAGGACTACAGAGCTCGATTTGACCATTGGTTGTGGGATCACTTAGCTATGTCTATCACTTGTTGCTTAGGTTGTTTGGCAAGCAAATAGTCCTGTTTGGTAGCTTCACCAGGTTAACATTTCACTTTTAGCTATGCCTGGTGCTGCTCCTGGCATGCCCTCTTGCATTCTCCATTGAACCAGAGTTGATCCCCTGGCTTGAGGGTAATGGCAGAATGAAGGATATGCTAGGCCACAAGGTTGCAGACTGTGTTGGAGTACAATTCTGCTGTTGCTGATGTTCTCACACCATCTCACAGCATCAGGACAGCAAGACTGGATGCCCAGTCTTGAGATGCTAGATCTGTTTGAAGTCTGTCCCATTTAGCACGGTGATAGTGCCATAAAATACATTGTAAGATATTTTCAATGTGGCAACTGGATTCATCTGCATAAGAACTGTGCAGTGGTCACTCTTACCAACACGGTCATGGACAGGCACATGTACAACAGGCAGAATGGTAAGGATGAGGTCAAGAATGTTTTTCCCTATTGTTGGTTCCTTCACTACCTGCTGCAGACGCAGTCTAGCAGCTATATCCTTTAGAACCCGACCAGCTTAATCAGTAGTACTGCTGCTAAGCCTCTCTTGGTGGTGGACATTGAAATCCCTACAACACTCTGTCGTCCCCAGTGCTTTCTCCAAGTGTTGGTCAACATGGAGGAGTACTGATTCACCAGTCCAGGAAGGCTAATAAGGAGTAATTAACAGGGGGGTTTCTTGTGCGTGTTTGACTTGGTGCCATGAGACTTCATGAGGGTCACTGTTGAAAGCTCTCCAGGCAACTCCCTTCCAGCTGTACTCTATAGTGCTGTTACCTCCTCTGGGCCTCTCCTGCTGGTGGGTCAGGTCATTGTAGGTTATGATTCTGACTGTATCATTATGTAAGGCTGTTGCTTAACTAGTCTGTGAGACAGCTCTCCTAATTTTGGCACTAACCCCCAGTTGTTAGTAAGGAGAACTTTGCAGAGTTGACAGAGGTGATTTTGCTGTTTAATTTCTGGTGCCCAGGTGGTCCATCCAGTTTCATTTTCATTGTTACAACTGAGTGGCTTGCTAGGCCATTTCAGAGGGCAGCTAAGGGTTAATCACCATGCTGCAGGTTTGAACACACAAGGTGAGGATGGCAGTTTCCTTCCCTAATGAACATTAGTGATTCAGATAGGTTTTCCACCTATTGATACTGATTTCTCGGTTATCATTAGATTTTAAATACCAGATTTTTAAGGAATTCAAATTTCATCTACAGTGATAGCAAAGTTCAAACTGGGTGTCAGAACATTACCTGGGTCACTGAATCAATAGTCTTGCGATAATACTAGTAAGAGAACTAATACTGGCCAAAGGGTACTGTAGTTCCATATAATCACCCATGGAGGAGCAGGAGACTTTGGACTTGTTCACGGCACTAAAGCTACCACACAATTTCAGATTTCACAACAGGAGTTCCATTGCAACAGAATGAGAAAATGACTGCAGTTCCTCCTGGCATGCACATGACATGGTGCTTACGTGAACAACTTTGGTTACATGGATCTCCAGTACAAGTACGACTTGGAAATGAGGCAATGTGAATCCCTTAATACTTAATTGGTTCTTTTCTGTCATGCAGATCAGAGTGAAGACGAAAACAAGGACATTTCGTAAGACTAGGGTGAGCCATCAAGAGAAGGAGGAATCACGTTGGATACAGTCACATCATTCCCCATATCTCCACCGGTACACATTCTCTTATCTCTGTGAATTTGCCTTTGAGATTAAATGCAGAGTCACAAACATTGCGGATGTTACCTACAGAAACCTTGATAGTGAAGGTCATTAATAGCCAGAGGACTGCCAGAGCCCTAGGCTAATGATATGCATGTGAAGGTTTTGGCAACACAAATAGGCTGTAAATGTAGATATGGCAAAGAGAACATCTACTAGAACTCCAGAAGCAACACTGTATGGAAGATGGAAGTGTCTACCTAGACCAGAAATAGAGCAGTGTCTCTAATGGATGCGTCATTGACATTTTTCTTGAAGATTAGCGATCTTCATGGAGATCCAGAATCAGCTGACTGGCCAGTGGATGCCGGAGATGCATGCAGACCTAAAGCGTAACTGCTTTATTGTACAGGCTGTACTCAGCAGTCACAAGGCAATAAGAGGGCAAGCCACCTGAATTCTCCATCAGGAACTGTTTCTTCTCAAGTGAGCTGGAGGTGTAAGGATGAAGTAGCGTCTTCCTTCTGTGCGTGGGGGCTTCCTTCAAGACGTGGACCAAGATCCTTGGCACTTGTGTGGATGACAGCGATCACCTCAAGAAGCCATGATGACTGAAGTTCTCAATAAACTGGAACCCTCCAGGTCATCCAATTACATACAGCAGCAAGGTTACCAAGGCCTCTACCTTAGGTACACCTCTTAGGATCCCTCGCCAGAGAGTTAAAAGAGCACCTGGCTGCATTTGGATTGCGCAGTAATTACAATACTTTGATAAGTTTGTCTTCTGTTGCTTACTGGAGCTGCTTGTCATTACAACTCTTGTCGGTATCTTTGCTCGCTCAATAGTGTTGAAGTGATAGACGAAGGTGTATCCGTTCAGCTTTTCAGCTGTGCACCTGTGTGTGAACCGGGCAATGGGATGCAAAATAAAGGAAACGATGGCAGGGCTGACTAAAAGGTGAGGCCTTATTAGAATCTTTCCCGAAAGGCAACAGATCACAGGAAATAGTTATGCATTCAGACACCTTGGACCTCTTGTGCTGCAGTGACGGTGCCATTATCTCTGAGCCAGGAGGCCCAGAACAAATCCCTCCTGCTCCAGACACGTGTAATAATCTCTGAACAAGTGATTAGACAATATCTACAGGCACCTTTAGTATCCCTTGTGTGTACATCATTGTACTTTGCCTGTGGTCTAAGGAGTACCTCAACTTGTGTCAGATCTGATCATTCACATCCTTATCTCGGAGGAGGCATCATGGTGCTCACTGCCTCCCTCCCCTGACCCTCTATACTGCTAGGCAGTGCACTTCGCAACAGACCTCCACATTAAGCAAATCTCTAGTTGGGACGAACTGAATGGCTGTACCAGATTGGTGGGGACACTTCATATTTAGAAATAATGGATGATCATTCAAATTGGTCCATGACAGAAGTCATGTCTCTCCCTTGTTGAGGTGCATATGTTTCTCACATGTATTAACAGCAATATCCTCAGTAGTGAGCCCATATTCCTCACTGTACATTCTTGAAAGGACACAGTAGGGGCCAGAAAAGCTGTTGCACTCTGTAATTGCTGGAGCTGGAACTGGTCCCTGGGAAATGGGGACACACCTGAAAGATCTATTTTTGGCGGTCGCAGACCAGTTGGACGTTAATGTAGGGACCCCTTCTTGTTGAAGAAGATTAGTGGCTGTTCTGGAGGAGCATGTGTGTAGTTGATGAAACTTTACCCTGGGGAGTCTAGTAAGGGACCCAAATACCACAACCCTCTCTGATTGATTTTCCAATCAGTTTGAGAGCCCACATGGTCTCTGGATCTCTTCAACACAGTATTGGTCACCATAGCCCCACAGACCGAGAGATTCTACAGATGTCACTGTAAGATCCCCAGAAAGAGGGGTGTAAGTTGACAGCCACAGTGGTCTTCAGCAGCTCTGATATTGGGGGTCAGTCACTCCCAGGGTCTCAGCTGGACCTTGTGAAGAGGTCAGTGGTGGTTTCCATGCAGAGCCACAGTCTTCACTGGCACTGGGCTTGGTCATTTGGAGATGGATCAGGCTCAACTGGTAGACACTTGCCAGTTTGCAGATGCCAACTGGCATACTCCACTTCTATGGCATACCCACCCAAAGCTGTTTCTCTTGTTGGCACTGATGTGTCCACCAATGTTTAGACCTCCCTCCCCACTCAGCTGACTCTTCTCCTCAACAGAGTCTCCCAAATCTTGAGTTCTTCGCTCAGGGCTAGTGTCACTGCCCTGTGCAACCATGGGTAACAAGCCCCACAGTGCTACCCACTTCGCTCCTTCTGCTAAAGCCTGGCAGTGGCCTCTTTGGATCCCCTTCCTGTCAATGAACACTGGTTTTCCAGATACCAGCACTTGCTTGCTACCTCGTTCATCAGATAGGATATCTGTGTAGTATTAAAATAATAAGAAGCATAAAATTGAACTTAATTGGCCTTGAGTACCTCAATTCATGTTCCACCATCTTGATAGTAAAAGAGCACAGCCCAAGGGTCCCAATGTTATTAAATTCTTGAGTTGACATGAATATAGTGGACATCTGGCCAAATGCACTCCATTTTTTTTAACAGTTCCACACCACCCCAAGTGGCTGCCTTCAAGCTCCCTCAAATTGCTGAGAAAGATGCTCCTGCCCACTAACTCTGCTTCTCTCCTCTCAGATGTTAACAGACCCACTGACCTAAATCTAACACCATACCCTGAGATGAGTTTGGTGATGACAGGGTGGCATTTAATGTCAGAGGGCAGTGTACCCCACTGCCTTCCCTACCCCTCCACTGTTTACATCTGGGCCAAGAAGGCTCACAGACAGACTGCCACCAACTGTGGCTATTCAATAGGTGCTGCTGCTGGTATTCACCCTGTTGGGGGCTTTGGGAGAAAAGGTTTGGGACAGAGGTGTGGAGGTGCCTTGGGCTGATCAAGGGGCACAGCATCAGAATAAGGTTGCTAGCTGAGAGTCACCCCCTGTCCTCTTGCTGCTAAAACTCCTCCCCCACAACCCCCATCACAAGTCCTCCTTCCTGTCATCATTCAACTCTGGCTTGGGTCTCTTGCCCACCCTGGGTCTTTGGTATTTGCATTACCAGTAATAACCATCTGTCCATGGTGGCACTGTCGAGCAATGATGAACTGCTAGCTACTATTTGGCTAACAGCTCTTGGCGGGTGACACTTACAATCGGATTGTCTTAACGTCAGGGAAGGACCACTGTTCCTTGTTTATAGTCTGTTTGATATTTATGTTGCACCTCTTCCTGGAATGAGGTCAAACGCATGACCACTTTGCAAACAATGGGTTAAACCCTTCTAATTTCCATCAAATTCCACCTGCCGAATATTTAGAGCGCTTTCTGCTTTCTGTTCAGATTTCCAGATTCCACACTATTTTGCTTTATTTTAGGGGTCAGTCATAAGTAAATTCTGAAGCTATTTCAACTCTTTTATATGATATAAATGATAATCTTGGTTAATGCCAGAAAATCATTGCCCTTTTAATAGCTCACTTAACCAGATCTTCCATTAGGCACATTGATTTCCATCAAAGATTATTCAGTAGGTTTGGTTTTCCATGCTTTTTTATTTATTTTCTGAAACTGAAGTTTCACAGAATCGGTAAGTCAGGTTAGTTTTGATTTGTGACAATACTATCACTTTAAAAGGTTATTTTTTGGAAGAGAGTTTGGAAGGCAGAGGGAACAAGCTGTCTCTAAGAAAGTAAACAGGCCTTGGGGTTTTTTAAAATGGGAACAATGGATGCAGCCTGCGTGTGGCCAGATCTCACAGACCAGACTTTCTAGTCTTTTTCTCAGTTTTTAGGTTTAGGTTTAAGCATAAGCCTTTGGGATATCAAACGAGTTGGAAGCTTCAGGGAATGTCTCGTAGCTGCTTCTTTCTCTGAATGGTCTCTTGATATTTTTTTTCTCCTCCTGGATTGGAGAACAGCATGTGAGAATCTGTGTCTGAATCTGTGTTTTTGCCAAGGCCTGTGTTTATAGATATTACTATGTTAGAACACTTACTTAGTAACTGGTACTGTATCTATTATTCAGTTAAGCTTTCCAATAGTTAAGTTATTCTAAATTTCTCTTTCTTTTGTTTGTATTTTAACTGTAGTGTTTAAATAAATTGTGTTTTGCTTAACGTTGAGTAGTTTGACCAGTCGCATTGCATCTGGAACACAGCACTTCACATCTACCCTTAAAATAAGAAAAGGTTAGGGTTGAGGCTACCTTCTTAAAATATTTTGAGGAGAGTCTGGTCTGGTCCATAACAGATTAATAATTAAATTTACATTGAGCTTTTAGCATGTTAATCTGGATTATGCATGCAACGGTCTGGATATGATTTATGTCCCAGGTTCCTTGACTGATACAATTTTCTTTTTGAACCAACTACTCACCTGGTTTTGTTTCATTACACAGCAACTGAGAAATTATAGGGGATAACTGCTCCAAATAACCAAAATCTGGAGCATCATAGTAATTGTCTGCTAATTGTGTGATCGACAGAAGTTCTTGTTTGTTAGCACCAGCTACACAAATGGCGTAGACTTCAACACCGTCTTTCTTGAGCTCATTCGCTAAGGACGGTATGTCTTCTGAATCTGTGACTTTTCCATCAGTGATGAGAATAATGAACTGTGGCACAGTGGAATTGCTTTTTCCTCGACCACCTTTCTCTTCAGTCAGAAGGTTCCTTGCGAGTTTCAGAGCCTTCACTGTGTACCTAGGTCCGCGTGTCTCCTTTTGTAATCCCCAAAGTGCACTTCTGATTTCAGCTTTGCTCGTGAAGCTGTCCAGCCTGAATATGGTCTGTGGATTGTTTCCGTACACAATGGCACCAAAGCGAACATTATCCCTGTCAACTTCAGAACGGTTCACGACTGACATCAGGAAGTTCTTCATGCTGTCAAACTGAGGTTTACTTATGCTGTCTGATCCATCCAGAACAAAGACAATGTCTGCAACTTCTATCCTCCCGCACTCTGTTTAGAAAATAGTCCAACAATATGTAATCAGTAGAAGCAAAAACAAAAGGCAAATGCTTGATATCTTAAATAAAAGCAGATGACAAAATTCATAGCAGATCTGGAATAATCTGGAAACAGAAAAGTCAAGTTATTGGTTCAGGTCTAGACTGAAAGCTGGATGCTAAACGAGTCCTTTCCTATAAAATGTTTCCTTTTACGGAAGGTACCCTCAATTCTGGGCATTGAACTTCTGAGACGATATCATGTCCATTTATGGCATGCAGTATAGATTGGCCACAGTGAGGGAAGGGTTACAGCAGGGCCCAGGAGAGAATTCATGGGCACTGGTGCTTCTCCAGTTTCCAGGACCCTTATCGCCCAGGGCACACACATCCCCAACCTCTGACTTTAACCAGCCCCGACATTCCCAGTTCGGGTAGAATTTATGTCAAACGCACTTTAGATAATGGTTAAGAAAAGGGAATAGCTTACTTTCTTCACCCAGAAATGTTACAGAATATCGCAGCAAAAGTCTTTACTTCCTCCTCCATCACTTCAGAATTTGACGTGATCAACCAAACACTGCCTTTCACTTTATTTAATAATGAGGTAAATAAACCTACAAATTACTTTTTAGAGGGAAGGGGTCTTTCTGCCTGGTTGTTTCTAGCGAATGGCATAGTGCAAGATTCAGTCAGTGCACTGTGTAAGCAAAGGCTGGGTGGTGGGGGAATTTTAGGACTCTATCAGTGGCAAGAGGACAGTTTATTAGCAAAGGTTAGCAATGTGGCTACAGGACTGTAGCAGCCTGTGGTGGGAAGGCACAGAATTATTCTGGCCAGTGTCACCTTCTAAACCTAACCCTAAGCCTGATCCATCTCCCACCTGACATCCAGTCACATGCTTTTATTTTTATTTTCCTTCCCTTGCCTTCCACCACTGATATAGTCACAGATTCTAGCTCTTTGCTCTGTCTTTTGTCACCAAAGCCCCACACCACATTACCCCCACCTTACCGTCCTCATCTCTTCGAAGCCAGTATATAGTGTTGAATGGTCCAGCAGGACAAGGCCCAGCTGTGATGGTTTCTAGAGTCAAATAACCTTGCCAGGCTCACCTGTGAAGAGTGGATGCTTGGCTGATTTACTGCACAGGCAGTGACTCCTAAATAACGATAAGTCAACAAATATGACCATCTGAAGGAGTGGAGGAGAAAAAAGCAGTAATAATTCCAACTTGAGACACATTAAGCCTAGTTTTTGGGGTCTGTCCTCAATGATTAACACTGCTGTCAGACAAAACATATAACGGGAATTTTGCTATCCAGCAAAGCACCAATGAGTTTCCAGAATTTAACACCAGTGAGTGAGACTTTCACCACCATCACATATTTGAAATGGTTCTCCCACTGTGGAATCATTCTAATAATTTTCAAAGTAATTTGGAAACTTCAGAAACTCACCTTCAGATCGACTGCACACTTCAAATGATATCGATTTATCCAAATCCTTTAGGGCATCAAAGTTTTCCACATGATAAACTTTGTCTTGGGAACCTGCAATCTCCACAAGCTGGGTGTTATTAGCGTTGATGATACCGATGGCAAAAATATTAACCCCTTTGTCCCTGATGGCTTTGGCAGGTTCATACACCTCATCCTCTGCCTCTCCATCTGTAATCACAATAAGGTACTGTCGCTCATTTGGGCGACCCCCTTTCGAGCTATCAAAGTATTCAGCTGTAAATCTCAATGCACGGCCTGTACATGTCTGCTCATTCAGCTGCTGAACGTTCCGAACAGCGTTCAGTAGTTCTGCTTTGTCATGGTATTGATTGAGTTGGAATTCCAATCTTGTTTGTGAGCTGAACTGTATTAAACCAACTTGGACTCTGGTGTCACTGACTTCAGTTGAGTTGATCAAGGTTTCGATAAACTTTTTCATTTTGTTAAAGTCTATAATCCATATACTTCTGGAACCATCGATTAGAAAAATGATGTCTGCCACCTCAAGTTTACTGCAGACTAGAGGAAAATAAAGCAAAAATACGTTTGTAATTTTGTCACTTGTCATCAAATTATTTCAGTTATTCAATCTTGCCATATCTTTCTAACTTGATTGAATTTTTCGAGGAGATGACAAAGGTGATTGATGAGGGTAGAGCAGTGGATGTTGTCTACATAGATTTTGGTAAGGCTTTCGACAAGGTCCCTCACTGTAAGCTCAGCCAGAAGATTAAGATGCGTGGGATCCACAGTGACTTAGCCTCGTGGATTCAGAATTGTCTTGCCCACTGAAGGCAGTGGGTAGGGGTGGAAGGGTGTTTTCTGGCTGGAGGTTCATGCCTAGTGGTGTTCCACAGAGATCTGTGCTGGGAGCTTTGCTCTTTGTGATTTATATAAATGATTTGGATGAAAGCATAGATAGGTGGGTAGGTAAGTTTGCAGACAATACAAAGTTCAGTGGAGTTGTGAATAGTGCAGAAGGTTGTCAAAGGATACAGCAGATATAGGTCAGTTGCAGAAATGGCACTTGGAGTTTCATCCCGATAAGTGTGAGGTGGTGCACTTTGGGAGATCAAATGTTAAGGAAAAGCATACAGTTAATGGCAGGACACTGAACAGCATTAATGTACAGAGGGATCTTGGGGTTCAAGTCCATAGCTCCTTGAAAGTGGCCAAGCACGTAGATTGGGTGGTAAAGAAGGTGATTGGCATGCTTGCCTTTATTGATCATGCATTGAGTACAAGAGTCAGGAAATCGTGTTGCAGCTTTGTAAGACTTTGGTTAGACCGCACTTAGAACATTGCGTTCAGTTCTGGTCACGAGCATTACTGGAAGGATGTGGAGGCTTTGGAGGGGGGTGCAGAAGAGGTTTACCAGGATGCTTCCTGGATTAGAGGGTATGAGCTATAAGGAGAGGCTAGAAAAACTCAGATTGTTTTCTCTGGAGCGGTGAAGGCCGAGGGGAGACTTGATAGAAGTCAATAAAATTATGAGATGCATAGATAGGGTTGATGATGATAATCGTTTTCCCAGAGTTGAAATGTCTAATACTAAGGGCATGCACTTAAGGTGAGAGGGGCAAAGTTCAAATGGAGAAGTGAGGGGCAAGTATTTTGACACAGAGAGTGGTAGGAGTCTGGAATGCACTGCCAGGGGTGGTTGTGGCGGCAGATGCGATTGGGGCATTTAAGCACAGAAATATGCAAGGAATGGAGGGCTATGGACCTAGAGCAGGCAGAAGGGATTAGTTTAATTTGGCATCATGTTCACCGCAACATCGTGGGCAGAAGGGCATGTTCCTTTGTTGTACAGTTCTTAACATAAAATAACAAACTTTGCTCAAAGGTTGTTGGAAAGTTCCCTATTTGCTGACTCTACTGCAGACCTTGTTGATGCACAACAGGTCTTTTCTCAGCTGAAAGTGGCAGCAGTTCAGCAAGATTTGAATAATGCAATGCTAGATTTCTTATCCTAGCATGTTTAAGGGGGTAGGTTAGATCAGTTGGTTGAATGGCTGGCCTATCAGCATGGGTTCAATTCCTTCACTGGCTGAGCATCTGCCTTCTCAACCACTCCCATCACGTGAGGCACGGTGACCCTCAGGTTAAGTCACCAGTTTCCTCTCTAATGAGAGAGCAGCCGTGTGGTCTTAGAGGACTATGGTGACTTTACTGCCATGTTATGTGCAATAGAAATATATGGGAGACTGTAGTGCAGTGGTAATCAGTAATCCAGAGGCTGAGGGTTACACTCGAACAATTCAAGAATGCGTCTTGCCACCCCTTTCTTGGGGCAATCAGGAAGGAGCAACAAATGTTGTCCTGGCCAGAAAAGCCCATCACTTGAAAGAAATATACATTTAAAAAATAATTAGGAGAATACTTTTCAAAATTGTTGCCCTTATTCTGACTTCTTCGTGTAATTATATCCGTATTAATACAGGCCTAATTACAGCTCCTAACAACAAACAATTAGACTCAAATATATACAATAAAAACAGAAAATGCTGGGATGACTCAGGAGATGAGACAGCATCTGTTGAGAGAGAAACAGAATAAATCAGCCTGACTCTCAACCAAGACGGGGTGTCTTGGGGAACCATTAAAAATGATGGCAGGGACTTGAATTATTCCTTGGCTTCTCAATTTCCAGGAGCACATTTAAAGGGTGTAGACTGGTTCAGGCCATGTGCAAACATCTGGTTCTTCCAATCTGTGGCCACAGGCATAGCCTACTCCTCTACAATTTTCATCAAATTGGGCCAGATTTTAAAGGTTGGTGCTTCTGGAACCTCTGAGAAATCACAAAATACAGTCCATATTACGTGCATTCGAAAAGGAATTTGTCATGACCCCCATGTCCGGCAATGCCTTCCCTAACCTATAGCTCGTCATGTACCCATGCCAAGGTAGGTCCCCCCAAACAACTCAGATGGCCAATGCTGTGCCAATGCCAAGATATATACCCATTCACCCACCCAACACTGTGTAGAAGCAATTAACCTAACAGTGACAGCTGTATGTGTAAAAAAAATTACTTTTATAACTTTCCATGATGTTAAAACTTCAATGCCACAGCCTTATAAAGGTGTCAATCATCCAAAACCTTTAGCTGAAAGACAAGACCATGACACCACTTAACCTGTGACCATAAACATTGTTAAATTGATGGAGGTTAGCCACCCAGAGCTGTCAATCAATCAGGGATGTATGTCAGCTCTTTATTGGAGGTCTGGGCTCTCAACAAAAATATTGTTGTCTGACAGCCCACACATCCAATTGAGACCTGACATACATGTAGCTCTGCTTGATCGATAGCTCTGTCTCATTTCTGTTAGCAATTTCACAAAGTATGTTCGCACAAGGTTAAGTATTTTCAATTACCTGGGGTTTCAGCTATTGACATTTTAAAGGGTCTAGCTCATAGGCACAGTTATTGGATTACAGTCAATGGAGTTTTTCTTAAAACATTGTAGAAAATTATTAATGAATCACTTCTTAAAAACTTTTATTCTAAAATTCAACTTTCACAATCGGGTTCGATGCTTCTGTAGAGTGTATAATAGATGGAAATGTGATATCTCAGCAGGGAGGAGCATTTTGAGCACGGGACATGGGACGAGGGAAAATCCACAACATGGAGCCATCTAAGGCTTAATGAGGGTTGATTGTGGGGTAATCTTCACCCCTGTGGCTGCCTCTGCTATGTTTCCAGTTTCAGCCAGCATGTACAGCATACCTAACGCCCGATATCCACAGCTAAGAAGACCCTCCTGGAGCTGGTAGCTCATGAGACTGGCATGTCCAGTCAGGATCTTTCCCAACTCCTGCTACCCATCTCAAGGATGCAAGCCCACCCTAATGTTTCAGATCAATGAGCTTTCTTTAGAACAGTGACAGGCCTTTGACCTGAAACGTTAACTGTGTTGCTGTCTCCACAGATATTGCCTGGCTTGTTGAGAATTTCCAGCATTTTCTGTTTTTACTTCAGGTTTCCAGCATCCACAGTATTTCGTTTTATACAGACACATTCTGAGTGGATTTTCGGAGTGCTATCCAGAAAAGATTCCTAAAGCACCATCAGTCATGTGTCTTCATGATGTTCTGATTGCCGTTGCTGGCAGGCAAGATTTTGAAAACTTTCCCCATGGCCCAAAAGAGCAGCAACACTAATAATTCCATTCTATCCTAACTAGTTGTCAACGTGCAATAATTTCCCCTAAAGTTCTTTCACTTTGTTAGCTGGAATTATTAGACAGTAAGAAAAATTTGGCAGGGGGAGGTGACGGCCTAGTGGTATTATCGCTGGACTGTTAATCTAGAGACCCAGGAAATATTCTGGGGACAACAAGGTGCAGGGCTGGATGAACACAGCAGGCCAAGCAGCATCATAGGAGCAGAGAGGCTCTCTGCTCCTATGA